AATACAACATTCAAAAATAAATCATCCTTTTATCTTAATTGTTGAAAAAGTAGTTGCGCAATATCGCATGATAATCAGTATTTTATTTGTTAATAAGACAATTTAACAAAAATCCTAGCGATTGAATAGTATTAAAATTATCTAATGGTTCATTATGATGTTACTCGAAATGACACAGTTTTATCAACTTTGATTTTAACACTTAAAAAAATTAAATTCACGCTCAAAAGAGAGAAACAAATAGTTTTTCAATATCGTTATCCATTATCAGTGGGTCCATAAAAGCTTTAATCGTTCATAATTAAAAGATCTTTTACCAAAACTGTCATTTCTTAGTGCTTATGTGGTTTAGCGACCTAAACGTATTCAAAAATGTTCCAAGATCTATGTTACCTATGAATGACTAACTAAACTTCTAGGCCTGCAGAGAAATTCCTGTGGTTATATATATAGTTACAACCTACTCTATCCAACGAATCGTTGTCGTACAGAACTGATCAGTAACACTTACAAACTTGACAAAACAAGATAAAAAATAAATTTTTGTTGTTATATCCAAATGAGTAGAAAAATTGTATTTCTGACGTTTCGTGACTTAATGTAAGCCACTTCTACAGAGTAAATAAACAACCGAATTAAATTAACACAAGTTTGAAATAGTACAAAAGGAACAATGCAAAACATTTTTAGTACAATGAAAATCACCATAGGTTTGCATATGTCAATGTCAAGATATTCTTGGTCAAGATGAATTTGTATGACCTGTCACTGTATTAAATTGTGAGTCAGAATGTGGGTATGAAAAATGTATGCATTTGTAATATAAAGTAGTGAGGTTGAGATTAGGTATGTGTGTGTACAAGTCGCCTCAATCCTAGAACCAGTACTCGAAAAATGTCCAGACAAACAATCGCATATATTATGTTAAGAAACATAATACATATTGACAAAACAAATATCCGTTCCACCTAATGTTTCCAAAGAAGAATGGAAAGCTTTACACTCATTGCAGAAAGATAGAACGATTGTCATTACCTAGGCTGACAAAGGGAATACAACAGCGGTCTTCAGCAAGAGTGACTATGAAGGAAACGTCCTTTAACATCTATCGACGGGACCAAATTTGAAGATCTATTCAAGAATCTTCAAGTGGTTAAAACTAAAGTTAAATCAGAGACAAGTGAATTCTGAAAGAACTAAAGCAATTTATTGGCGTTTCCCTATAGTTTACTTTATACTCTAAATCCAACACCATATCAAGATTCTATGAGCCACCAAATATCACAAGCTTGACATTCCTTTAAAACCCATAGTGGACTTTACGAATTCCTCGGCATTTAACAATTAGACCACTGAGCCGGCTAGAATCCAACGGTGTTAATGTCTAACTTCAACCAATCCACGAAGTTGTACCACCATACACCATTGTCTTCAATGAGTTCGCCGAAAATAGAACTCTTCGCTGAACTAACCTTTCTTATTTATTTTAAAATGAGTTCAAGCTTCATCTTATTGTAAAAAAGACACGATTTTGACTCATGATATTATAATCGCTTAATTAAAGAAAAGAAAGTTCTAAATCCACTTCTTCACAAACGTCGTTGAAGATTAAGTGCTGATTCTTATTGAATGTAATTCATTTTTTCTAAAGAAAATGTGGACTCATTGACTTAAATGTAGCTGAAGAGAAGGAAGAGGAATACTTTGAGTTCGATTTGTTGTGACATCTGCCACGTGACTTCCGAAGGAACTCAGCTTTCATCATGAGGCGTCTTCTAAATGAAAACCTTCTGACTCCCGCGGCAGAGTTTAAAAGATTTGAATGATGTTTTTCCAGTTAGCGTATTTTAGCGAGTTAGTTTTCTACGGGATGGGGTCGCTAACCCCATACCCAACCCTCCTCCTTCATCCGGGCTTGGGACCGGCAGTAGCCTCACATAAATAACAGAAATTAACATGAATTTTAAAGTATCCTTATCTGTACATGGAATAGGATATCTCATATAGACATTCGGTGAAAATTATTTCCAATTTTCTGTTCAATTATTCTATGTAATGTATGAAAAACACAAAACATTTTATGGCAGGTCGTCTATTTCCACCTTCATATTATGATTAGAAGTTACTGATTTCTTTCATTGTTTTATGATAGAATATAAAGGCTTTAGTGGATTTGATCCATCCGACGAAATAAATGATCACGTTCCTTATGGCAGTAGGTCCACAGATTCTTCAGAATAAAACTAGTGAAAACAATTTTAAATCGGTCGACATATATTTGTTGATGTATAATATAGTGAAGTTGAAACATGCTTCAACTGATGGCAGTAAAGACCGTGTGTGACCATTATTGAGATGCGTAAGTTGTTTCACAATAGTTCGATTATCGTTTCATAACAGTGAAGTGCCTCCTGAATGCCCTGGCACGGCCGAGAGTGGGGAGAGTTCGCTCTCCCTCTCGAAATACTCTCACACGGCCACGCGTATACAGCCTCTGCCAGGGAAGTCCTAATCATTGCCTTCTCGTGGCGGGGGTGTTGCTGAGAGGACAAAAAGCGAATGTCCGGCGCTTTAACCGGATCACAAATCTATGGTGCACAAGGGCTCCAGTATCCTGCGGGAACAAATGGCGGATGAACCAATCGTTGGTCACCGGCTACTATGGGACTGCATCTCCTTACGATGCTCCACTGCCTTGTGGGTTAGACCTTTAGGTCAAAGGCTCGGGGAGTGGCCCCCTAAGACAACCACCAGCTTCGGTTCGGGTACCCGGGCAGTATCACAGCCCACACACAAATTGATGTACTCTTTATGCCTTTGGAAATTACATTTCTCGCTATGGAAAACAAACAATTGAGTCAGATTATTATCATTACAATTATTGTCATTATTAATACTAATATTATTATTACTACTATTATTGTCATTATTATTATTATTATTATTATTATTATTATTTTCCACATTATTCAACCTCTTTTATACTTATACAGCGGCTCGTCTTTGGTGGAAATTCGACTGTATCTAAACGTTCTCGAGTCACTGTCCGGTGGAAAATTGTATGTTACCACCGAATACGAGGACTGAAGCAGTTTTTCTGAAACCACGTGCGCCATTCAAACTGGCTGCCTTCAACGTTTGCACATTTATGCAGGTCGGACAACAGATAGGGCTGGTTATGTCTTTGAAAAGTCTTAATATTGATGTTTGTTGTCTATCCGAGACCCGTATTCAAGACTCTGGCGAAGTACTACAAATTCGATCTCCATCTGTCACTTCGAAAAGCTTGTTTTACGTGCGCTTATCCGGGGACCCTGTGACATCTTCGTCTGGTCTTGCTGGCGTTGGTGTCGCACTAAGCGCTAGAGCTGAGGCAGCACTAGTCGATTGGATCCCCATTAACAGTCGGTTATGTGCTGTTGGATTAGAAAGTTCCATCAAAGTGAGAAGAAATCGGCGTGAGAAAAGATGTCTTTTCGTCATCTCCACCTATGCCCCGACAGATTGCAGCCCGGATGCAATCAAGGATGAGTTTTACCACCAGTTATCTGTTCTTCTCCAGAAAGTGCGTTCGCCAGATATTGTAGTACTAGCCGGAGACTTGAATGCTCAGGTCGGGCGTCTAGGCACAGAAGAGAGTCGTTTAGGTGGCCGATGGGGACTCGTTGGTCGCAGGTCAGATAACGGAGACCGTCTACTGCAACTTTGCACAGACCACAACCTGTTTCTGGCTAGCGCTAACTTTCGGCACAGTCATCGCCGATGTGCCACCTGGCGTCATGAAAAAGGAAGAAAGCACTGGTTTGCAGTATAAAGTATACATTATAATGATGATATTGGAGCGAAATTCACGGAGTAGCTTTACGATAGGGAGTTAAGACATTTTCTACAAAGCTGATTTTCAGATGCAAGACGATCTTAATTATAAGCCGTAATACATTTATAAACAGACGTTTCACATTTCGTAATCAGAGCAATTTTGACGTTTGATTTTGAGCAAATTAACCAATCTCTGTCATCTTAAAGAATGGTATGAATGTGTAGCTTAATGGCGACGGGTGCGATGCATATTCACTTGCATTGTAGAGCAAGTGAGAACATAAATACTTATGATTTGAATGAAAACTGAGTAGCGTGGTATCATATTATGGAAAACGGTTAAGAGTGTGTGATTGAACATCTGTGGAAATTTCATACACATAGTTCCCTTTATCATTTTGAAAAGAACAAGAACAAATGTTCAAGTAGAATAGCATGAATTCATATTTATTTCGTTGGTTCTCGTCAGCTGCTTACAACCTGTGATATTTAAAATCATAATTACATAATGTGTTTAAATTACTTATGTCAAAGAGTTCAGTTGGAAGTTATATTGTAAACATAGTAGTATAGTATAGCAAGGGTGTAAATAAATGTAATAGACTGAATATTGTAAATATATACCTTATGTGATGAAGGAACATTGTGACAACAGTTCAAACGGTTAGAAACAAGTAAACCTTGATAGGAATAAAATGAGTAGATTTCAGTTGACAAAATAAGACAGTCTGAATAAAACTCAATGGTGTGATAAATGAAAAAAGAGTTCAAAGCAAAGAAGAAATATTAAGATATAACAAAGGAATATTGATCAACAAGGCAAGGAAAGAATAATAACCATCTTTTGAACATATAAATCAGGCCTTTGGAGCCTGATAGCAACTACTTCAGCAAACTTCAGAAGACTGGAGTTTGGCTGCTTACTAATCACCTTGAATGATTGTAGGGTATCGACCTGATGTCCTGTATCAAGAAGATGTTTGGTGATTGCAATATTTATAGTTTTTCTTTCTCTTGTTCTGAGCCTTTTTGGAACATGTTTAAAAAATCTGATATATGCCCTGCTTTCTGTTCGGCCAGTGTAGCTGCTTTGGCAGGTACACGTAAATTCATAAATGCAATTGGCGGTAACATGAAAAGGATGCTTATCAACCATTGATTGAGTTACTGAGCATGTTGTTTTATACAGAACTTGAAGTTTGGCCGCCGGAAGTGATGCATTCAGAAACCTGTTGCATTATTATTGAGGATGTCGATTGTGAGTAAACGTCATGTATGCAGTACAGTTTCAAATCTAACAAAGAATATTTGGAATGGAACTATCAAACAGAAAAGTAACGTAAATGTCAAGTATCTGCACGATAAATACAAAAGTGAACAAATTGGAAATAGTCATTTGTTATATTTGACTTACCACATAGGGAGGGGTTGTTTTATTGGTAGTTAACTAAACCATTTGTCATATCACCTGTACACACAGAGATCAAACTTAAAATGATTAGTAGTGATCATAATATCACATCACCAATGCTAAATGTTTTGAAATGATGGGTTGGGCTAAACAGAGCACAGCCACATTTCCAGCATTTAATTAAACTTGCATCACCCAGTTGTTAAACACACACTAATTATTCTACATTTCGTATAAGCAGACCTTTTGATTGTTTCTGAGTCATTTATTTGTTTGTATGCTTGTCTCTTTTTAAGTCGGCGTATGTTGCTGCATGCTCATCAATTTTAGTTGTTGTCACAATTACTCAACTTGTTTCTCCGTCTTACTAAATAACTGGAGCATCACTCGTTTTCAAATACAATTTACACGTTTGACATCGTATCTAACTGAATTGGTTTACGAAATATAAACATCCGGAAAATTCGTATTCAATGTTCTAAATGCGTATTGTTACCAATACGTTTTGATGATCAAGTATAAACAATATGAGTAGAATATATTTCCGTTTATTTCATAAAGGATTTCATCAAACTAGTACAAAATGGCATGATTTTCGATTGTTTCGTCAGAACTTTATTAAATATTGGCCACAAAACATTATTCTGGTTTAGTTTATTGTTCGCTATTCATAATCGTGTGGAGACAAAACATTCATTATATCCATTGTCATCAGTGTTACGTCCAGGTTTTTGCTCGTTCCCGTTATTGAAGTACAGTATATCGATCTATTTGCAATTTACGAACCAAAATCAATCATAGAACGAAACTCCAATTTAGGTACCAAAGTTTATTCGCAATTCACAAATAGTCGACCCAAATGTCGTCCTGACAACAATACTTATAAAGATTACAAAACAAACCATCAATTTTGTAGGTTCCCGGAGTAAAAACTCCCAATTACCAAACCAAAGACAAACAGAAACCAAAATGTCCGAAAATAATGTTATAAACAAACAAGTTCAGAAGTTAAGTAAAATGAATACATCCAAAAACACAGTGCAATTAATCATATACAATAAAAAGTTTTAATCAGTCAAATGTCTTCAGTTCTCCCGTAACAATCAGCAAGACAGTTTTTATGAACTTTTATGTTTTATTTATCGGCTTGTAGTAGTATTTATTATTATTTAGGTTGTTTCATAGCTCTTATGCACCAACGTTTATACTTCTATCTTAGTTTTATGAAAACATGGCTAATGTAAATAAACTGGGTGTCATGTCAGTCATAAGGTCTGCTGCTTCCAGTATTTTCATACATCATGATGTTCGTTTTTACTCACTATTTTAGTAAATACGATTTTCAGTATACAAATATCTCTTCATTCATTGTAGTATGTTTGTAGTTGTATGAAGTGAATAAATATATCTTGTCATGAAAGGGTTTGGGGGTGATGGTTATCAAAAATAATATATATGACTAGTTCAAGTGAGAGCTTTTACAGTATGTGAAGTATCGTAAATATAGTAGATCATCTAGAGTAATGGTGAAACTCCATGTTTATACTGAAATGAAAATTGCAGTCTGTACCTTGGTGAATGTCTTTCTTAAAGCTCATGGAGTTTCAAACCACCATCTGCAATCACCCGGCAGTAGGCCGCGGCTCACTTCAACGCCAAGATCCTTCAGCTGAACTGCAAATACAGGCAATGGGTGCCGTCGAACGATCTAGACCTTGCAGATGATCTGGCTCTCCTATCGCACACGCATCAACAAATGCAGAAGAAGACGACTAGTGTAGCAGCAGCCTAAGCAGCTGTGTATCCTAACATACACAAAGGGAAACGCAAGATTCTCCGTTACAACACATCATGAACCAACCAAATCATACATAGCATAGAATTCTTCGGAGGATATAAAAACTTTTAAATATCTGAACAACATCATTTATGAACACAGTGAATATGATGCAGATGTAAAAGCGCGGATGGTGAAGCAAGAGCAGTGCATCTACAGTTGAAAACATTTGGAATTCGAAACAACTGTCCACAAACACCAAAGTTAGAATTTTCAATGCGAATGTCGAAACAGTTCTGCTATATGAGGCGGAAACCAGGAGAACTACGGAAGCCATCATCGCAAGATACAAGTGCTTAATAAAAGTTGTCTACGCAAAATACTTCGGATCCGTTGACCCGACATTATCAGCAACAACCTACTGTGGGAAAGAATAAACCAGAACCAGTGGGAGAAAAATAAGGAAAAGCTCTGAGAGTGGATAGGACACACATTCACGAAAGTGTAATGTGGTGTCGAGTCGCGGTTTACTATGAGCACCACTACAGAGTAACGAGTATCAAACAAATCAGGAGGCGATGATAGCGCGTAACCAAGTTTATTTCGTTGGCGATCTCGTGGTGTCGGACGAATACCGAGATCATGCCAAAAGGAGTACAAGTGGAATCAGCAGGCGAGAGTACAAACACACGAGGTCACAACCCGCAGAAAAGTAATGATGATACATACTTTAACATACATATGCGCCACACAGACTCATTTGATATGTGTGAGGGCTGTGATACTGCCTGGGTGCCCAAACCGAAGCAGGTGGTTTTCTTAGGGGGCCACAACCGGAACCTTCGACCTGAAGGTCTCACCCACGAGGCAGTGGAGCGTCGTAAAGAGATGCAGTCCCATGGTAGCCGGTGACCAACGATTGATTCCTAATCCATTTGTTCCTTCAGGATACTGGTGCCCATGTGCACCATTTGTTTTGAATGGGGTTTTCCAACTCCCGAAGGTGGACTCTGCATGTCCACAACCCGGTGAAAGCGCCAGGCATTAACTTTTCATCTCTCAATTTCGTAAACAACACGCGTGGTGCGAGATGGCAGTGAATAGGACTTCCTTGTCAGAGGATATATACGTGTGTAAATAAGAGAGCATTTGGGTAGGGAGAGCGAACTCTCTCCACTCTCGGGCGTACCAGAGCATTTGGCGGCTGATACATACAACTTATATTACGGATATCAGTAGTACATTTGACAATATTATTTTGAAAGACAATGGAACTTTTATGATCATACGATTTAGAACAAAGAATATAATCTGTTCAACATAGATTTTCACAAGACAACATGAACATATTGAATAATGTAATGACTAATGAACATTTCTCAATTCAGGTACACTTTAACGAGTAATTATCAAAATAAACTATTGACTACTTACTTGAATATTGACGAAATAATGCACACCGAATATAACAGAACACATTGAGTATAACTGAGATGAACACTATAATAATTGCATCAATATTTATTACTTCACGTGTTAAAGCAGCTAGAAATAACAAAAACAAAAGACGAATTTTCATTCGACTAAAGCTCCAGTAATTTTAAAAAGAAATATATAAAAGTTCTAGAGGTTAAACGTTCTCACATGAGACCGATAGGTCCTGGGTTCGAATCTCACGAGGTGGAATCGTGGATGCGCGTTCACACTGAGTAGTCTTACAATAGGACGAAACGGCTGTCCATTGCTTCCAGGTTTTCCATGATGCTCTAGCTTCAATTGACTCATGATCTCAACCACTGAAATATGTGTATTGGTACTGTGGTAATCATAAACATGAGTCATACAAAAAGTACTTGCTCCAGGTATACTTCCAAGGAATTTAAATAAAGTCGGCTATTTCAACTGGAATATTTACAAACATATCATTGCTAAACTTCAGAGAATGGACGATTGTGAAAAGTAGTCTTGTATTTATGTTAAATGGTTGGACCAAACTAGAAAAAGATTTGAATACAGATTTCACGCTAGATGTATCCAGGATGTTTCTGTTAAAATTTGTCGCCCGATGCCCTACAAATATATGACGTAATAATACTGCCAATTAGAGAACAATGATACATCGACCAGACCAATGACACATAAAACCCGTACTAGCGGTTAAGAGTTCTTACCTGTCCTGGATGTTGATTCGAGAACACCAATCTCAGCTTTTGAGATATGAGTCATGTATTTCAAACATACTGCGTTTATATACCAACCACACAGACCACATCATACCATAAAATGGAAAATAACATTTGTACAAGATTTGGCCAAATGTGGCTGTGAATGTGGGAGATAATAATTGATAGGAAGGGCATAAATCAAGAATGGTAAATCATATAATGACAGTTCATAGGTCAAAATCAAGCTCATAATAACAGGGAGATGAATATGTATAGTTTAGTTATTGAAGATTATTACATAAATAGATTTCAACAGTTACCATTCATTATTCTCATAGGGATATAACAGTTTCAGAAGTCTTTTTGATGTGCTTCACTGTCAACCACTAGTTCCAGTCGATTAAACTTATCCGTGGAAATAATATTATGGGATTTATTCAAAGGATTCGTATTACAACATAGATGGATTATCAGTATAGGTTTGTGGAGATTGCTGAGTTCTTATTGAGATCATGAATCGATCAAAGTTAAACACCATTAAAAACCTTCAGCCACTGGATAATCATTTTATTCTAGTATGAAACCACTCATCAGTGTGCAGTCACTATCCTAAATATGGGAATCGGACCCAGAATCTCCAGTCTTACGCGAACACTTTACGCCTAGATCACTGATCCGGCAACCATTGGCATTAATGTCAGTACAGCAAAATATCATGGATTGATTGAAGTTAAACATTAGACTGTTGGATGCCGGACTGATGGTCTAGACATCAAGCGTTCGCGCTCGGAACCGACGGTCCTGGGTTCGAGTCCCTCAAGAAAGAGAGATGTGAATTTTTCACTTTTCTACTATCTACTATTCTTTCAACACATTTGGTGTGTTGACAAGAATGATAATGATTGGTTGTTGTCGAGTTTTGGCATGGAAATATATTTACGTTCTAATCAGGTGAATCATGATTTCTTGATTTGAGTTCTGTTGAACACGTGTAGAATATAGACATTGGGAAAGAATCTAGAGTAGATATTTTGTCTAAGATAAATTCACATTTCATTCGTGTAAAAACGTAGGAAACTTCAAGTGTTATCACCATTTCACTGAATGTGTGTTATGATCAAATCACTAAAATGCGATCAACTAGATCATATTCACAATTTCCATTATAATACAATCAATATTCATTGTTATCCATAGTAATACCCTATTCATCCTTATATTGATTGTAATTTGATTAGTTGAAGCTTCTCATTGGTTTTATTGTGTTGAATAGTCATTATGATCTTTATTGTTATTCATCATCAATAAGGTTAGTAACTAATAAGAACATGAATTTATTTACTAACGAATAACCTAATTATTTGACTAAACAATAAAGTAAAACATAGTTCATTACTATTTTAGGGTAATAGTCATATGGTGAATGATGATGATCGGTGCCGAAAACAAACATGTAGTTAAACAGTAAACATGAAAACATATTCACTTTTATTTAATTAGTATTGTTAATAATTATATTACTTGTAAATAGAACTATACAATTAAAACTACTTATTAGTAGTATGATAAAATTAACGTATTTATATATTTCAACAGCTGACATGGCAGTAATTTCAACGGTTGAGATCATGAGCCAATTGAAGCTAGACCACCATGAAAACCTGGAAGCACTGGACGGTCGATTCGTCCTATTGTGAGAATCCTCAGCAGTGGAGTTCAACCGGGTCAGTTGTGAGGTAGTAACTCGCTGATGACAGTGGTGGATGTGTCGCTCAATTAGTTGAAGTTAAACATTAACACAGTTGGATGCCGGCCAGCTCAGTGGTCTAGTCAGTTAAGCGCCTGGTGCGAGACTGATAGCTCCTGAGTTCGAATCCCCCGAGGCGGGGCCGTGGATGCGCACTGCTGAGGAGTCTCACAATAGAACGAAACGACCGTCCAGTGCTTCTGGGTTTTCTATAGTGGTCTAGCTCCAATTGACTCATGATCTCAACAGTTGAAATTACTACAATCTCCACAAAACCCTCCCGATAGTTATTATATATCGTCAGAAAGGGGTTTTATAGATATTTTAGTGATTTAATAGTTGAGTTCATGAATCGATTGATGTTGGATCACCACTGAAAATCTGAAAGCACTGGTTTCTTCATATTATAGGACATTTCAACAGTGTGCATCCACGATCCCGTTCGAAGGATTCAAACTCAGGACCTTAGGTCTGACGAGCGAACGCTTAACTTCTAGACCATTATTTTCACTGATATTTTTTATCAGGATGGTTTGTAAGTTGCAATTGATATTATGATATAAATCGTTAGCTATGAAAATACCATGAAATGGTTCTGCACTAGACTTAATAATGAATATCACTTGATTTGACTTTTTACAGACCATAAGTAAAAGTTTGATTAAAAGTTGGAGCTTTTAGAATCCAATTACTTGATTTATTTTGAGCTTCTGCTGACCATAATAAATTAATGGCGTTAATTAAACACTAACGTATGAGTTTAAATGGTTTAATTTGTTTTTAGCATGATTTTTTTTATATGGGATGGAGTTACCGACCCACACCCAACCCTCCTCGTTTACCCTGACATGGAACCAGCAGTATGCTTAGAATGAACGTCAATATAATCCTACTGTATGGAGCTGAAACGTGGAGAACTTCTACAATCATCATCAATAAGGTACAAGAATTTATAAACAATTGTCTACGTAAGAAACTGAATGTCTGCTGGTCGAATACCATTAGTAAAAGCCTACTATGGAAGAGAATAAACCAGCTGAAGGGGAGATTAGGAAAAGACGATGGAAATGGGTAAGACATATAGTAGGAAATCATCAGACGGCATCACGAGGCAAGCACTATCTTGGACTCGTGAAAGGAAACGGAAAAGTGGAAGGCCAAAGAACACACTACTTCTGGAATTGGAAGCAGACATGTAAAAGATGAATAGTAACTAGAAACAAATGAAAATGATTTTAGAGGACAGAGCTGTATAAAGAATGCTAGTAAGTAGCCTATGCACTTTCACGAGGAATAACAGTCATAAATATGTCAATCAATAAAACAATTTCAGTAGACAATAAGAATGAAATAAAAGTAAAATATCACTAGTTAGTAACTAATTTAAATGAATAAATCAATAGAACATCTTTTCCATTGTACTACTATAGAAGAAAAACAAAAAGCCCATTCAAATTTGTACATTTTGTTGTTTACATATACTAACACTTAATCATCTCCTATTCATGTGTTTATAATGAAACGATCTTCTTATTGTCTAAACTACTATACTACTTAGTTAGACTATTACTTATTAGAACAATCAAATATCAATATGATCTATGTTTACCATAACTGAGTCATTTCTTATTACAAAAGAATACTATACCGTTAACAATTCCTTCTTTCCCCCTCCATTTAAAATGTCTCCATGGTACATGTATTCATATATCAATGTATATGTATATCAATAAAAACATGTATTCATATACCGTTTATACAATATTCATTGAAGATTTCAATAAGCATTAGGAGTACATTCTTTATGGTATACACATATATATAGAATAAGGAGATATGTTTATGTATAGAAAGATATGATCTTATAAGTTAGTCATGAATTTCCACTCCAGCCCCATCCCACCACTAACACCATCCCCCCCGGGAAAAATACCCAACATACATAGATAGATAACACATCGATGTAAAATGAATAATAATTTTCTTCAAATGAATAGTAATAGAAAACAATTGTATATTCTTTATGGTAGTTACACTGTTGACAAACTAAACAGGAAACTAGCAACCAAAAAATACGGGGGAAAACTGTGGGAAACCGAAAAAAATCAACTCACCAATCATAAGAGTAACTCATTCCATATCTAACCTTCCTAATTTAACTGAGCTCGAGATGAAGAATGCTACTGAGTGGCATATTTTACTTTATAAGGGGTAACAAGCGTAAGTAATTAAGTAAGTCAATGTGGAAGTAGTAAGTAAGCAAGTAAGTAAGTAAGTAAGTAAGTAAGTAAGTACGTATAAGTTTATTTCAAATTTCAAGAAAAGTCATTCATCTATTGCTAATATGAGATGACAACTTTATTCATACAGATAAACACCTTCATGATGTTATGTATTCAGTTAAGTACAATTTTAACTCATCATAATGAAAAAATCTGTTATTTAAATGGAATTATTTTGTGCTTTGACATTCTCTTAGTTGAATAGTTTAGATGTGAATGTTCAAGTGTCATTCCTAACAATGTAACCAACTTTTATTCTAAGTAATAATGAATTCCTTTTAAAGAAAATGATTCTGAACGGCCATTTCGTTTTGGAATGGGACTCATCAGCACTAAGCATTCATCATACCA